TAAAACAAGTTTTACGACGTCAGCACAATTTTGGGGGAAGAAAAGATTCCGTAAGTGAAACATGTTCTAAATCTAAAAAGAGTTATTACCGACACGCTAAGACTTTGGATGAAATAAAGTCTCTTTTTACGTGACACGTGTCAATTATCTTTGGAAAATACAGGGCCTTAATTGGATGTATTCTAGATAACTTTTAAATTAGATTTGAAATCAATAGGTAATGAAAGTGGGCGAATTTTCGCAGCGGATGCGGAAAGAATTAATATTTTCTCACTTTACGAGCAATACAGATTCAAATTTAAAATCTTTAAGAATCAAATTAAGTTATTTTCAAATTTTATGCCCATCATTTCTATAAATTATTAAGTAATTTCATTTTATGGACGTATTTGTTCGTACAGTTTTTTGTCAAGAATTGGATGAATTTTAGATTTAGATTTTCAATATATTGGTTAGAAAGAGCTTTTTATTATTATACTTTTTGAATTGTAATTTCTAAATTCATGGTTATTTGAGTTATGCTTTGTGTTGATGAAGTACATATAGATTAACTGAATGATTTAAATTTTGAAATAATTTTATACTGCTGAACTTATAACCTTTACTTAAACGCATGCAGCAATAAATAAAAAGACTGAATTCATGTATGTATAAACAAATTAATAAATAAATGAAGAATCACAACACGATACGATGTAATTATCCATCAATCATCGATGGTCGATTTGAAGCTGTTAAAAGTATTAATATTGAGGTTTTCCAGGTCACGTATTCTTAATAGCCAGATATGACGGGACTATACCTCCCACCAAAACTATTCACAATTACCCAGCATGCTTCACTCAATCAATGGACACTTGCGAAGCCTTTGTATCAGAACTGTAGCGACCAAGGCAAACATTCACTCCATCTTCAGCAGTCGGAATGCGCTTCCCTTGGTGTTCTAAATATAGATATCTTCCCTTGGTGTTCTAAAAATAGATATCACTTCGTTATAAAACGCTTTAATCTTTTGATTGACAAGCGTAACTAATGACTCGGATGAAAATGACAACATGGTGGATTCTTAATTGGAATCTGTCGGTTTTGACCAAGTTGCCTGTGCTAAAATGTGACAAGGTTGGGTCAAAACCACAATGGAAAATAATGGGATTGAGCGCTGTAATGGATTGGGAATAATACTAATAAAATGCAGGATTGTATTTTATGCCGTGTTTATACAGAATGGTAATACTGCACTTAAGGCAGAGAGGCAGGGTGGAATAATTATGATATGAATGCTTCAGGAGAAATGAAGGAATATATGAGACACTGCATATAAAATTAGTTATTTTCGTTTCAAAACAGTTTGCAAATAAAGATAAAGGCAAACAGAGAAACTTGCAGACACAGTGCGTGTCATTGACATCCAGTCAGTCTGTTGACCCTGTTACAGTCTGTTTTATATACAGTCGGCCCTGTTACAGTAGCATAATGCCGTTGGGCTGGCTTGAAGTTATGTTCATACATGTGTAAAATTTATTATGTTTAAGTGTCGCTTTGAGTAAACTGGTTCCCGTAAATAATGTCCGTGGTATATTGTTTGTTAGAGATGTAGTCATGCCAAGATATTTTTGTTTTCCGTTTAAATGTAGTCACACAGGAAGGAAGTAAAACTGTTTCATGTATAATATATATTGTACATGACGGTAAAACTGTAACCTTAGCCTTTTCTTCCACGGTGGTATTCATGTCGAAATCTATCAATTATGCATGCTTATGTTGGGCAAAGAACAAAACCAGACCACGGAAATGACATTTAGCTTTCTTAATAGCTACATTGTTAAAAATACATTGAATTGCATCTGGTTGTGAGTGGAGTTTTTGCCTTCAGCATGTCAGTATCGCCATCTGTGTTTTAATTCTCATCTCTAACGCTTTGGAGAGATTGTTAGGAAAGTTAAACATGTGGCTTGCAGTTTTTTTATTTTCATTTAGAGTTTCAAATTTCCATCGTTACACAGTGTATTTAAGCATCTGTCTGCGATGAATTTGATTACTTACTGTAAACAATAGTTTGTATAAGAACACGTGAAGTCTGTATGGGTATAAACGTTGAATATATCGGAATAAACTTTACAGGCAAAAAATTGTTATGTCCATCAAACATCCAGAACGGAAACTAGTGAAGGATTGGCATTCAATCACATTTTTTTTTCAACATTTTCATCCATTACATTGAGTCCTATTTAATTTTGATTTTAATTGTAGATGAAATCAAACGTATTGAAGTTTACACGTATATAAACATTATAATTTTGTTCATTGTTACATAGTTGTAATATTATTAACGCTATATATGTTGCCTATCAGTATTTACGGCAAATAGACCTCACCCCCTCCTCATAGGACTTAAAGTTGAAAGGATTGAGTAAGTAAGCTAAATTTGCCACGTTCTTCGTATACTTCAGCATAAAATTTTTTCGTTGAATATTAGAGCATGTTTGAGTACACCTTTTGATGGATTTTAATTATCCAACTTGTTGAGACAAGTCGACATTTTTATTGCGCTTCCTAAAATATCTTTGCAAACATTTTGATTTAAAGAGTTTTCTGCTACAATGCCGTGCATCTGTATGTATGGTCTGGTATGTTAGTTAGTGATACAGTTGTGTAGCGTTGAACGGTATGATAATTATACCGGTCGTCTGCTTCGTTGCCAGTGTAATGGATCATGAAATTAACATATCAAGAGATGTATCTGTCATGAAGTCTCGTATGAAACGAGATTTTGTTGTTTTCTATCGAGAACTGCTACGTTTCAATTGAACTTATATAGGCAGAAGATAAGGAGAGGAAATTTTGATATCATTAATTTGATCAGATGTACGTAAATTGCACCATTGCGTCTTTTAGTATGGTAAATATCTGAAGTCTGATAGGGAATTTAGCGTCAATTTTAGATCTTTCAGATCTTTTGTCGTCTGCATTTGAGATAACGGATACTTTGAACATCAGTCGCTCTCCATAGAAATTGAATGTAAATTATCAACTTAGGAGAATGACAAAGTCTTTGACATAAAGTTTATTCTGATAGAACAGTGATTCGTGGCTTTTTCACACGCAGTATAAATTATCTACGTAATCGAAGCGAAATCATTACTAAAGTAGATTTTACTTTGAATCCCTGATTCTCTTTTTGAACTTGTATAATTTATTAGAGAAATTAATTAGTCGTAATTATCAGCTAGAGTAGATCTCGCAATTGTCACTTTAATACATGTTTACGATGAAAGTGTCACGTGGTACCTCTTATATAACATAGAGAAAAGGGTCATTTAGTAAACTCATCTCCACTGACGTCATAATATTAACTTATTTATCTTTATTCATCTATATTCATATTTCATTGTGAATTCAATATAAGAAAATAAAACATACTTGAGCCGTGCCATGACAAAACCAACATAGTGGGTTTGCGACCAGCATGGATCCAGACCAGCCTGCGCATCCGCGCAGTCTGATCATGATCCATGTTGTTCGCATACCAACCCTATTACAAGTAGAGAAACTGATAGGGAACAGCATGGATCCTGATCAGACTGCGCGGATGCGCAGGCTGGTCTGGATCCATGCTGGTCACAAACCCACTATGTTGGTTTTGTCGTGACGCGGCTCACTCAATGAAAATAACTGCAGTAAAGTTTAATTCAATTCAATGTTCAGCCAGTGATCAATCTAAGAAAATGTTAGCTTTTAAACAAATTGATTTCCTCTATTGTACGATAGATATTCGAACAGTTTATTCGTTTCTCCTCAGATGTTGCACGTTTTCTGTTGTTGTTGTTTTTTCTGTATAAGAAACATACATCTTCATGTATTTATTTACATGTTTTTACACGTATCTGTACCTCAATATCACATATCTGTTACAACAAAGCATGCCATGTACATATAGTACACTTATAAGGAAAATAGTTATTGAATTATAAATATAGTTAATAGTTTTCTACTAGTATTACACTACATAAAAATAATTAGATAATAATAATAATAATACTACTATTAATAGTAATATTAATGTAATTAAGATGATGATAATAATAAAAATGGTGTAGCAGTAAATGTGTTTGCCTCTAAACCAAGATACAGTGGGCTAGAACCTTACTTTGATAACACCTACGGTCCACGATTCCTTTATTTAGTACCTATCAGAATCTAATGTAATTCCTACAAAATTGCAAAATTAATCGAGTTTAAATGAATGTACTCAAATTATACAGTAAAAAACAAGAAGAAAACCAAACAATATAGCATTGTTTTACTGGCAATGACCTGGCTAAGATAAAACATTAATGTTATAATAAAATCTTATATTGCGCAATAGCTGTGACAAGAATCAATGAATGCCACACAAAAATACAAACTTGGCATTTTATACAAACAGTTCTAATTCTGCATTAATCCAGAATGTTCGATTTAATACAGATATATAACTTCATTTTATTGTTAATGGGATTGTCTTAATTTCCTTTATTTCAAATTGTCACGTGATGGACGCTGAAAACGAATGAGTCAGCTTGCAGACGATAATGTAGATCCGAGTTAATAAAGAGTGCAGTTTTTACAGCCTGAATGATAAAACCTTGGAAACATGCTTATTGTCCTTAAACTTCCGGCTTATCTTACATAAACTTAGACAAAAATGCATTGGCACTATCTTCTTTGATATAAAGTAGTTCCGGTATGCAACATGATGAAAGCGATACATGAAACTAATAATAAAAAAGTAATAATAATGATGATGATGATAATGATGATGATGATGATGATGATAGTAATAATAATAATAACTTTATGATAATGATAATAATTATCATTATAATAATAATGATAATAAAAGCAATAATAATTATAACGCCAGTAGTTTTTCCTTTTATTATATATAATATTTATTTTCTTGGGTAAGGGTGGGGTGCAGTGTAGCTGTTTTAAGGGTTAACCCATGTTGTAGCCAACATATGGTCATGTAATATTTTCTTTGATTTCAGAACAATGTAAAAGCCAGCTTGGTATGGAAGATGGCCGTATAACAGACGACAGAATAACTGCTAGTTCAACACACGACTATAGATCTGTCGGACCACAAAACTCTAGGTATGTTCACCGGATCATGTAGCTTATTTCCTTTCATACTTTACCATTAAAACCGCACTAGTGCAAGTTGGACTTGTTTACGGCTATTTTGACGCCAAAAAAATTCAGAACATTCAAACAGGGACACTTCCCCTATTACGATATCCAACATAGAAACACACATTTTAGGGGATATAATAGACTGGGGCAGTATATCACAAGCAGTGTGCTATATGTCACATTGCCCGTTAACGTCACGTGTCTTAATCTTTGTGACTTGCGGTTTATAAATAAGTAAAAAATAACTAACAGTTATGCCATTTTGTTTCTGACAAAATGTGAAAAAGAACAGATTCAAAACTGTCAAAGCACTAACCAATCAAAAGATAATCTCGTCTAAAGCGAGAGAAAGAGATACGAGAGCACATATTTTCATTTATATATATTTCTATAGTAATTCTAAGTGCTCGTATAATATTTCAAAAGCGAAAAAAAAAGCACTTTCGTTAGCTTGTTTTCAGAAACCATAGCAACCTATTGTTTCACGTATTTGGAATATAAGTCTGGTAATTATAGGTAGTCTTCTACAGTCAGTCTTATGAGATAGTTTTTTTTTTCTAATACATAACATCAAATTATATGTAAAAAGGCTAAATACAATATACAGAGATTAGAGGCATAACAGCTTCTGCAATACGTCTCGGTGTTAGTTTCGTTGGCGGTTAGATTCGTATTTTTGAGTTTCTTTATTGACCTTGAAACACCGTGTTATATCCTGATTAGTATGAGAATTAAAACCAGGAGTTCGCTATAAAAGAAGCTAACATATCTATTTCATCATTATACGGATAAATGTCACAATCTTTAATCACACAAAAGTTATTAATATCTTAATAAAATAGAAAATATTTGATCTAAACATCCTTGCTACAAGAATCTGTCATTAGTAACCATGCCAACGGATGAAAATAAAATATAAACACCTGTTGGAGAAATATATTGGTATAACAGAGCGCCACCTATCGTTTGACTCAGTTGATCAATATACGGGCATTTCTATCTAGTCTATCTCCACTTTTTCCTGCCGTAAAAGGCCGTCAGGGAACATCAAAGGAAATTGCATTGCATGCCGTTGGCGAAATTCAAATACCGATGCTATGTTATAAAAGAAGACACTGTCTGTCTGATGGAAATGAGAAAAAAAAATAACAACAAAAAAACCAGGCAGCACAGGTTATGATCAATATGATTGAACTGAGCTGTTAGGGTGAATATCGAACTTGCATTCATTGCCATTGTTATACAGCCTTCTTGTGTCACCTTTTGCTAATAAGGTTAGAACTCTTAGATGGAATAAGAATAATTATAGTGTTCCAAAGCTTACATCCCTATTTTAGTAAGTAGACCTACCATTAATTCAGTAGCAATGTTTGAGCAAGCACAAGTGATGCTCATGTTTAATAGAGGTTTATAAACCTCGTATTCATTAATTCACAACTCATGTAAGACTTGGTCATGTTTGATGTTTAGGTGAACAGTTTCTACTCGATTTTATGACGCCTTCAATATATTCTGGATAATTATATATTTTTGTATTGTATTTTTAATGACCTCTTCATTTATATTTGTGCAGATGGCACTGGAAACACTACATGAAATAAAGAGGCAATTTATGATTTGATCTTATGAAAACGACCTTGATACATTCAATGTCAATTCTTGCGACAATTCTTTCCCAATAACAATTATTATGTGTTTACGCCAGAAATTTTGTTTTGGTTAAAAGGCCTTTTTTTACACGATCGTAACGAGAATGTGACTTTGATTTAATTCTGAACAGAAAAGCGCTTGGTTTTATGGTTGAGTAAATTAATCAGTGATCTTTTTTTACGAGCGCTGTTAGCAACATCTCTTTTCATACGTTCACATACATAGATGCTTGTAGATTAAAACCTCGAGACCGAGCAGATCGATACGCGGAAGGATACAATATTGGTGATGTGTGGAAAACTTACAGACATAAGTTATATAGCAGTCAGAGGTGTTGACAGGTGCCGGGAAAATCTGTGATTGTAAATATAATAGAAAAAAGTGCCAATTAGGCAAAAAGTGTTAAAAGAAGCTTGCTAAGTCATTTTATTACAAAAAAGAAATATCCATAAGTGTGTCTTCTTGACAAGCTTATTGTAGGATGAAGGCGTCTTCCGGGGCATGATCAGAATTAACAAAGCTAAAGTAATATACTTGCTTTTACGTACATATAGGAAAAAAAAACTTATTTCAGGAAGGAATATAAGAGCATAAATCAGAAAAGAACGACACAATGTTAATTCTGGTTGAACCTTCGTTATTCTTGACGTGAATTAAAACAAATCTTTATTTACTGTACAATAAATATTTCCTTTTCAAAAAGCAGGAAGATCTGTAGAACAAATAATTCATCTAGTTTTGAATATATTTTGACAACCGTATCAAATACAAGACAATCCTATATGTTATTCAAGCAACTGGACACATGGCTCGCCCAGATGCCAAACAATATGATAAACAAGATCAACAAGGAAAGGTTGTGTTCAATGAACACAACTCCCACACAACCCAGCAACAAGGACCAGTGACCAGGAGCCCAGGAGGACCCCAAACAAAACCAGGACAGGGCACAAGCCAAGTCTTTCAGTCGGAAATACTGGAAGAATCACATTGCACACCTAAGTTTAAGTTAGCTGCTGCCATGTTTAAATATTCAACCCTTTGTATTTGTTGGTCATTGGGGTATACAAATAACGTATACTCTCCAAAGCAAGGCTTGGCAAATGGAGGGACATTTTGAAAGTAAACACGTGAAATGGCTATAATCCAAATCGAGGTCGCTTACTTAATTGTTTCGTAACACTAAAGTAATGTGCAGTTCTAATGTAAATAAATGACTCATCTACTAGATAAATGCCACCGTAGGAAAAAGTTTCCCTATGTCATTTATCACCGTAATTTTAATTAGGGTCTGCTCTTGTGACGGCACGCAGTGACACACCGGCTAGATGGAAAAGAGACATGATTAAACGAGTAAATCAAACCTTTGCAATCTGATTTCTATGATATAACATACAATAAGTCATAAAATGTTCTCAGAAGATGCCATGATATATCAACGAATAAAGTTCGTGTCACATTAAGCGTCATTTTCATAGTTATATCGATATTGTCAGGCGTCAATATTTGCCGAGATATGTCAGTATCCTTCGGGAACGTTTAAATTACAGAAAAAATACAAATTAATTAAACTCGTCCGATGTAGACAGATTTAATTTGCTTAATGGTTTTTCATCGTAATACTGAATGGATTCTAGATTAGAGCAAGGGTATCTCTTCCTGACAGAATATTAATAAGAACAGATTATTTTCACGACATGTAAATGTTATGTAACACCGACAACTGCATGGTATTTAATTATGTAAAATGATCTTTAATGTGTAATTGAATGCAAAGGTGAAGGTCTTTGTCCTCCAATCTTTTAATACATCTAGAGTATAAAACAGTTGATAAATCCGGGAGAAGAGCTTTTTACAAAATACAGTATAGTGGGGAAGTGCTTCTTGTAAAATACAAACTCATCACTGATGTACTTTTCGCCTTGAACTTCATGTATATATATCCATAGCGTGATATATTATATGGCTAGAGGATAAAACAAAATTAATCCTCTTTTCCAGATATTCTTGGCAAATGTTTACCTACGTCAGCCTATAGAAACGCCCTCGTTGTCAATTTGCTGTCACTTTTTACCATACTTGGATACTTTAAACTGATAGCCTTAATTCGTCGCAAGTACACATAATCGCCTTACGTCAGAGCAGTCAGACGCCATTAAGACTTAAAATAATTACAGAAAATAATACTCTCTCGAACACTAGGACGTCATCTATGTACATCAACTTATTAAGTGAAAATCTCTCTAGAGAAGAAGCAACAAATAAGAAATCTCAGACAAGTTATATTGTAGCATAATTTTAAGTTACTTAATAATGAAAATTTGGTTAGCATTTACACGGCTTATAATTTTCTTAAAACTAAAAGAATACTTTCAAAATTGAATAATAGGGAATATAATACATCCCACTTGAAACAAAACACCGTGTCTGCAGTCTTCAAGTTGGCTTGATGAATAATTTAGTGGTAGCATTGCGAATAAATTTAACCAATTTAAAAAGCGGACCCAGCCCAGTAACGCCTAGATCTTGTATAAAACGTTGGAAAAAGTCATATTTCGTCAAATTCCGTAATGACATAACAGGCACAAAAACACGGTTGTCAAGTAATACAAAACCGTCTTCAAAGATGACCAAAATTCTGTGCAATTGTTTATATAGTTTCCCCTCTAAAACTAATCGTAAAATAACGAAATTTCACGAAAGTACGTGCTAATATTACCGGAAGGTAAATAAAATATTAATAACCTTCATTTTATCAGAAGAAAATGATATATTTATTTCTTTTTCTTAATGACAACAATTATTTAGAGTTTTAGGCAAATTCCCGCTGTAATCTTCGAAATTACGATTTGTATGTAACGAGACTCTATATTGGGAAGATGTTTAAGAAATAGAAGGAAATTGTTTACTTTAAGTTAGAAACATGCGACTGGAAAGCGAGCAATATTCAAAATTACTAAAATATTGTTGAGTGAATAATTCCATATGATGACTTTAATTAATTGTTTAATCATTGTTCTTTGTAGACGTCTAATACAAGGGTTTTATTTTTGCTTCACAAAAAATTAGAAATAAAAATTAAAAAAGGAATCGATTTTCATCTTACTAATGTTATACTCTTAGAAATATATTACTTAAACACGCCCCTGCCCTGTCCTTGCCCTTGCCCTTGCCCTGCCCTTGTACCGTAATGTTTTAGATCGTTGCCCTGCTAGGTGTCTTACGTGTAGTCCTATGATACTCATGGTTTGCAACGTTGCTTTTCATTGAATAAACGTGACGTTTATATGAAACTATATAGACGTAACGATTATCCAATGAGAAGCGACGGCTGTTGTCAATTCTTCTCATGTTTTCCCTATAAAAAGAAAGTTTGCTATATTATAAGTTCGTTATAAAGATTCCTCGCGGGTTATATGACCCTATATAAACAGTTGTTTGCACATATAACCATTAGGTCATATACTGGTGGTTTCATATTGTCGGTGACTGCGTTTAGTGGACGTTACACATCCTTTGTGATATGAATATTTATCTACATTATTGTTCAGTTTATAATACAATGTTTTGAGATATACTTAAATATTCCTTTTTAAAGTCTCTTTATAGCTTTTATTTATTGATTATTATTATTTATTTATCTAGGTGAGCCACCTATGATGACAAACTTAGATTTTTTTTGCATTATTACGCTATAAAATAATCATAATAAATTTCTTTTATCTTTTTCTTTTATCATGAAATACTAGAAGTAAATAAATAAGTTACTCCACGATCTCTTAATCATCTTATTTCACAAAATGTACGGTAATCTTAGCATTTCAGTATGTTCAGGTGCAATGAGGTTAAAAGTAAGGAATTCTATTGATCGAATATTTCAGAACATGTTTTCTCCAAAAGTTCTTATGATTTATGGACCATGTTACATGCCTGAACTTTAAAAAAAAAAAGTTTAAAAATGAAACTGGCATCCTGACAAAGGCTCTTGGGTCGATTGTGTGCAGGAAAGAAGCGAGAAATTGACACGGAAAAGATTTGGCTTCAAACTGAATTACCAGGAAAATAGAGAGAAAACAGATTAATTATATAAAAAAGGTTGACTTTAATGTTTACCTGTCCGTATCTGTAAAATGCCTTTCAGTTATAAATTCTGACAATTTAACACCTTTCCGTTTTCAAAATACAAAGATTGAGAGGCAACATCCGTCTTCCGGCCGCCATTGACAGGTTAAAACGTATGATGCGTGCGCATGCAATATTTCATATCACTCCACGCACTACATTTGCATTTTAGCATTCACACGAAAAGAACTCTCAATTTATTCTTAGAACTACCATCAGAAATATCGAGAGCTAACGGTTCATTATTTAAATGTTTCGTGTATTTATTTGCGGGGAATTGAATGCTTAATTGATGGGAATTCTTTTGGAAGACAATGGTGCACGCGGACGTATTCAGTGCAGTTTTGCATTTTTTAAAAGCTTGCTAAATACATTCGTTATAGCTTCATTTAACGAAGAGAAAAACAAGAGGTCTCACAATGAAGATGAGCATTAAAGATTTAAGGTATCAATTACACAATGCTTATGCTATTTATACAAATTCGTTCAGTTGAATACATGTGAATAGACAATAATGAACCAGGCTTAATTCTTAGCAACATCTGAAGCACAGATAGGCAGATAAAATTATTGCAGGAAAAAAATCTTTATTTTAACATTTCAATCAAGGCATGTGTCCTGGTAAAATGTATGAAAGAATGCCGACTAAAACAAATCCTCAGCGTTTAAACAAAATAAGATCATTTTTGCTTGATAGTGTAAAAAGCAATATTATTTTCATTTGAGTTTGAGTCTATGATTTAATTATAATAGCCAAACCATGGCTCACACCAAGGATCCGTTTTGTTTTGAGACACATTTATCATTACACAAATGTTGTTCAGTTATTATTATCTTATTATAATATACTAGTATTCTGTCACTTAAAACCTGAACTGTCTTTACACTATTGTGATTTGAAATGAAAAGGCATGTTTTCCATATTTACCCCAGCTTCTATGTGAAATCAAACCCTACCTCAAACAGCCCGATTGAAATGCGTGACGATTGTACTTAATAATCATAGAACTAAAAAAGGTGAAAGTAATATAAACATCAGAAATAAAGAAAACGTCTGCATCAAAGTCGTAGGTCGTGATAAAACTGTATCGGTAGGCTTACGTCGTGCTTTGATGCCTTTTCTGTTGTCTTTAATTAAGCATACTTAACGGGGTTAGATGGTCTTAACGTTAGAAACGAGGTGTGTCGGAGCCACTTTTATATCTCATCTTTGAGGCGCCATCAACAAATTAACAATGTGAGTATATTCCTTATTGCCCAATTCACCTATAACAATGAATAAATATCACGTAAATGTAGCGCTTTCGGTTTGCACGGTGTGTTGATCAATTTAGTTAAGTAATCAATCAATCAATCAATCAATCAATCAATCAATCAATTAATTAATTTATCTTTCAAAGAAATAAACAATCAATCATATTCTTGCTGACATAAAACTCTCCTTCAATGATCTTTAGAAACAAATGTTGCTTTAGTATGATCATTACAATCAATAAAAGTCAATTGTGCGGCTGAATCTCACTGAACCCAGCAACGCTCACAATTATCTGACTACAGCTTTGGGCTCCAGCGATCGACTTAACTTCAATAATTAATACATCTAGCAACACCACAGAGACTTTTATATAGTTTGAAAGGTTTTTGTTCCTGTAATGAATGGCAATTACCCGAGGACAGATGCCATTCCGATACTCATCTACTCATCGTGTCGGCAGAAATCTATTTAAACGTACACTGTCGGGGATTTGACCACCGTAATTTAGAAACCTGTTCCAGGAGAGTTTTGTGCCGTGGAATCTATAGCTACTTACTGTAGTTTCCAATCGATCTTTAATGAAATGTTTTTCCTGTTCTCATTTGTGACACGATTTCTCTCATATATGGTTTTCTGTGATTGATTTTCGTGTTGTCATCAGTGGATGCCATTTATTGAATTAAGTTAAATAGGAAAAGGGTTTCTGTATTAATAAAAAACTTTCGTTAGAAACAATGCCGATTCTTGTTGTAGTTAACGAAGTATCCGGAAAGTTATGTTAGACGGAATTGGCTGGATTTATCACTTGCCACATGAAATAAACACTTGTTTCACAGACATATGTGACACGAGTTGAATTTATAAGATATAATATTTGAAATAAATATTGTTAAAATTTAACAAAGGAGCTAGAGCGAGTGCATCTTTATCATCTATAAAGATAACTTTAATGCAACCAACTTACCTTGAAGACCTGGTGACATCGAGTGCATTATTTCAGGCATTAGCAATCACCACACCCGTGTTAGCAAACCCAATAGTTTCAACCCCACAAAACCCCCGCTTCCGGAACCCACCCTTTCGCGAATTCGAAAACACAACTTTGTGGCTAGCGCTCTTAATAGATTGATCGCTTCTTAAATTCATCACACTGACCATCTTAGACAATCATAAAGACAATTTACCAGTCCTCTATTATAGATATTATTTATGTACGTATTGTGTGCAGGCATGTAATTACTTCGTTACGTTAATATCTCAATACTATTGACTTGTATAAGTATAATATGGACAGATTCAGCCGGAGAAATAAGAAGTAAAATAGTCCACTCTATATGGACCTTCTTTCCTTTTTTTTCAAATGATAATTTCAAGTTTGCTAAGGAATTATTCTGACAGTTTGCCCTTCATTTTGATTATAACATCGTATTGATCTAAAGACGGGGAGATTGTCGCAGAAATATTTGCAAAATCTTCACTTTTGTCGTAGACGATCGATACATCTGTGAGAGCCATAATTGCAAACTTTGATTCAATTTCCTTTTACCGTGCTATTATAGAAGCGGCAAGATTTGGCGAAAAGATGCGCGCGGAGCTATTGTTAATATTACGGGGAATTGTTCGGTGATTGAAAACACGTCAATCATTCTGTAGAGTTGAGATTATTGTTAGATGAATAACTCCTATGGGCCATATTGCGAGGGGAATCTATCAGATATTAGATTGTATATTGAATGTTGACAGTAACGGTATGTTGGAGAAGATGCGTCCTGATGGGCATCTGTCAAAATCTCCCAACTTTGATCAATGGGCCAAACATTTGTATATTGGAAGGAAATTGGCATGATGAAACCAGTTTATCTTTTTCTACAACCAGACGGTGTTAATTTTCCTATCGTTGTATCATTTTATATAAATAAATACTAGTATCAAAAACTGGTTATTTTCACTTCATTCTGTAAATCGATAAACGCAACATTTTCTTTTTCGGAAATATAATTAAGGAGGAGGCCTGACTTGTATGATATAAAAGGGAGAAAAAGTGTCTGGCTTTCGGTACAGAAAACATTCACATAATATTATAATCAGTTTGAACTATACGTATATTTGCTCTTGTATACGTATTCAGATATATAAGCCACATCACAACAAAACCACCATAGTGTGTTTGCGACCAGCATGGATCCAGACCAGCCTGCGCATCCGTGCAGTCTGATCAGGATCCATGATTTTCGCTTATTACAAGTAGAGAAACTGATAGCGAACAGCATGGATCCTGATCAGACTGCGCGGATGCACAGGCTGGTCTGGATCCATGCTGGTCGCAAACCCATTATGTTGGTTTTGTTTGTCCTGACGCGGCTCATATTATTTTTCTGTTGTTTTTTCTCAGAATCCGCAAAGAGAAGAGTGGAGGTGCTTGGTGTCCTAATGCGCTTGTCGATAAAGACTCGTACGAGTACCTGCAAATTGATCTCCTGAAACTTATGGTCATAACGAAGGTCGAAGTTCAAGGTCGTTTTGGGAATGGAAATGTAAGTAAAACCTTATACACTCAGTTATTAACTAGTCTGTCTTACCTTAAAGGTTGATTCAAATATTACATGCATTTATTACTCTCAGTCGAGTAGTAGTTTGGTGGTTGTTGTTGTTTGTTTGTGTGTTTTTTTTTTTTGGGGGGGGGGGGGAAGGCACGTTTTTTTTTTAGGGGGGGGGGGGGCGATGATTGGCTTAGAAAACTCAGCTTCACTAATCTTGATTATTTCACTGACTATTTAAATTACCCACTGCCATTCTTTTTTAATTTTCTGGTGTTGACTTTATTTCGGCATTATTTAAATGTCATTTCAAAATTGCTAATTTCTTGATTTCCTCTCAGTTGTTTTTCTTCTCTCCGAATTTCAAACCAGTATGAATAATTAAAAGAAATTAGACACTGCTTTTGGGATCGAACATCAAAGGTCATTAAATTTTTTTTTTTAGTCTGTAACTTAATTTTTAATCGATTTTGTTTGATTAAATTGAAGTAGTGCGCTATTTGCTCCGGGGGCATTCGTGTTGTGTGGAAGACCGGAGAAAACAGAAACACTCTTAACGTATTGTTCAAAACTCTCTCACAAGTCCCGGCCGCCTGTGTTCATATGGTGCTTTTGTTTTAATTTCAAATAATTTCTTTGCCTCAAGCAAATTTTCGTTCGAATTAAGAAAGTTCATTAGGATTTCATTTCAGTGCAATTTTCACTATGTAAATTGCACTTCTGGATTTCGTTTCTTTCACATTTGAATTTAAGACATCTCTTCTGCACTGCTATCCGGGTAATTGCTTTGTTTGCTTAAACTGCAGACAATTCGTAGCAATTATGTAATTACGGAGTTTTTCTCCCGTAAATTACAGAGAAGGCAGCTGTTCATCTAGAAAAATGAAAAGTTTCTTATTTCCCAAGTTTGTTCAATTTGATGAGAACATCGTAAATCAAATCAGACAAAAAATCTAGATTGATACTGTGTTTAAGAAAGAGCTACTCCAAAAAGGAAAGTAAGTAGCCCATTATAGAAGAATACGTATTAAAGTTAATTGTCTTCTGAAACAAGGATTGCTAGAGCAGGTAATTATATTCTTGCAATTTTCGTTTAAATATAATGAGCCTTGTACCACTGTTACACATTTGGAAGACCGGATACGAATGTAATTTTGAGAGTTTATTTAAGAGCTTTGTAGAGTGATTTTCAAAGCTTAACGGTATTGTAACACATTTGACAATGAGTGAGCTAGAGAATGCGTGAAAGAACGAACGAACGAATGAACGAACGAATAGGATGGACGGAAAGGGACTAAACTGGCGGGCGGATCGATGTTGTTGAAGAACTCGGCAAGAGTTATCTTTAATAGTGTATCAATACAAAGGCTAAGACAATCCAAATTTTAGATTTAACGAAAAAATCATAGAATATTTTCTACATACGTTGTTATATTGTCTATTATAATGAAGGGTTATACAGACAAAATGTCGGTCTCGTATTGTTTGGTAGACTGCAATTAGGTCTTTGACTGACAGTTTACCGTTACCATGACTTCATTTGCTTACCGACATTTCTTATTCAGCAATTATATCAGGAAAACGTGTTCCTTAATGTTCAAAATATGTCTTTAAATGTTTCTTTTGGTTCATTTGTTGTTTTGATGCCTGTGGTTATAAAACAAAATCATATAACACAAATAACGCGTGACTTCGCGAGAATCTTATTAACGTTTCAACGGACATTAATTTCTCGCGTAGGCTGTCGGTGCTTTTCTCTTTATTCCTATATCTGAGTTTCATATATAGAAAATTGGCGGTAATTACGAAGCTCTAAGAATGCGGTGTTCTTAAGTTAGATGCCGGGAGATACTGTATAATAAATGGACAAATAAGGTTTCTTCCATTAGATAGACATTAATTGAAAATTGCCACATTATTCCAGTGGAATGTTATTAGAATGGAACTATTTGATTCTTGTCACGCTTTGCAACAGAACTCTTGCTTGTTTTTTTTACATTTTAAGGAAGCCATACCAAAATAGAAATTAAAAGAAAAGTAGCATACATTTTTGTGTGTGACTGATTTTGCTATATTTTTCCTCTAGGCTAGGTTCAGTAGCAATATTAACCAAAGCACGTTCAATACTATGAGTTATTTTAATGTTTGTCACACGAAAATAAAACTTTGTTCCTCGCGTCAATTTTGTCTTTAACATACGACTGCTCAATAATTCAGAGAACCTTGCATTTTGCATTAGAAAAATAAACGTTTGACAGCGCTGTCCGAGAAAGCGTACCCCTGAGTGTTATAAACTATCTTTTTTTCTCCCCTATATATCATCACAGCTCGAAATCTATTTGATTCAATTATTACTGTGTACAGCAGCGTGAGAAATCTCACTTGACATGTAGGATGTTTGATTATACATAGTATATATGATATATGGGTAACACGTTAGAACGCCGGCGCCATATTAGGAACATGAACCTATTCTGCTTTTCTCCGCTATAATCCCAATAGAGCGCACCGCGTATAGAAAAAATCAAACGTAACCTAATTAGGGCGGAATAATACAAAATTCGCTTCGATTGCCAGGCGCGATGTTATATAGAAGAAGATATTTACTTAATTTTGTATTATTTATACGTTCGTGCATAGAATACATTTGAATTTTCTTGATATAATGGATGGGTTATGCGTTTAATTGACTGCTTGTTTTGTGTTATGTTCATACCGTGTTACATTACATGTTGCAATGCAATGAGTGACGGTATGAACGCATGTATGACTGCAGGGGAAATATGCCGAGTCATTGTGACATTACAATAATAACATTCTTTTATAAAATCAGCACAATGTAATATTAACAACTTTTTTATTCTCTATAAGAACATAAAAATAACTTTGCTTTATTTTTACTTTCCGAAAAGGTCTATTAAATCATTAACAACGGTACAGATTTTTCGGTGAACGACTTCCTTGTGCCCTGCGTAATATACAATCTTTAAAATACATAGTTATGTTAAATAATATATACAACAATAAAATAACAAGAACAATAATATAAATAATAAAATAGAATATCCGCGGCAACATCAAAATCATCACTCAAGCACGCACACATTTTCATGAGAATTCTAAAAGTTTTTTGTCAAACCAATGACTAAGTGTTAATATTCTAAGAAAATTGTTAACTTCGCGTTAAATTTCTCTGTTTTTTAGCGCCTGAATTTGGCTCCAATTTTGTTAATAGGTTATTAAAGCCCCTGAACTCACAAATTGTCAGAACCAAACAAAAAATAAGATAACCCCTATGACTCACAGAACGACGCTCAAATTTGCCAGACGACAATTCATTACAAAGAAAAGGGCTCATTTCATCATTACGATTATAAAAATCTTTTGAAATATGCACGGCCGGGCTTTTCTGAAATAGGACGTATTTTGTGAAGAGAAAAAGACATTAATTGGAGGAATATTGGGAGTTAAAGGGCATTTTAGGCATGTATTTCAGACAATTGTGAGATATGGCCTTCAAACGTACAATTACAGCACTGTCTTTTTTGAAAATTTCTCTTTGTTTTCCTGTTTTATGGTCAGTCAAATACGAATTTAATTACCCGCCCGACACAGTTCTCAGCTTCAGCGTGTTTTTTTTTTTAAATAGAACGGTGCCACTGTGCGAACAACGTCGTCGTAAAAATTGCTTTTTTTACACTCTGAAACTTCATTTTCTATAATTGCCATCTCAGCAAAGGTTTACCGTTGTTGTGTTGCGTTTTAAAAAGCTTTTTTTTCTGTATGTTGAAGTTGACGAATGACATTTATTTCCCTCATTAAATCTGCACATTTTCCCAAAGATGAAAAATTCGCTTGAAAATATATATGATTACAACAAAGTATGCAAATTGGGCCAATCTTTCTATCACAAACTGACAGTAAATGCTCGAAATTACATTCGTGACGCTTTTGTGTAAATTTTTATGTCACTGAATTGC